ATTTTTTTTGTAGATCATATGTGAATATATGTGCCGCAATATATAATGATAAGAATAGCTTTATGAAACTTTTTAAAGGTAATATTACAAGCGAAACTAATTTCAAATAGTTTCGATCTATAGTATATGATAAAATTAAAACCATATATTTACTAAATAAATATGATAATCATATTTTCGCTCAAATTCTTTGCCAAAAAAAGGTATTAATGTCCATGCTAAATAAATCGAAACTATCTGAAATTAGTTTCGCTTTTAATAGTAGAAAGTCGAAATTAGTTTCGTTCTTAGTATTAGAAAAATCAACAATGTAAAATTGTAGTTATTGTTAGTTGATATTAAATAAAAAGTATATGAAATCGTTTTTATTTTTGTAAATTTTGATTTTTTTAAATTTTGATTTTTTTAAAATAATTACCCCAAGTGACCATATCAATGAAAATGAAGAGTACAAAAATGCTTTTTACGTTGATGACGAAAAGTTGTTTTGTACTTTCTGTAAAGTTATTGTAAATCATCGAAACACGTTTTTACTCAATCAGCATTTAAACACTAGCAAACATAGATTAAACGAATATAAAGTAAAGATCTGGAAGGAACAAGTCAAATTACCTTTGATTTCTAACACCTGTCGGGAAGAACGTGAGATGATTATTGTAGATCTGGTTCATGCCTTAACACAAGCCAACATTTCACTTGAAAAAGTCAATAAACTCAAACTATTTTTATTAAAATATTGCAAGAATGGTATATACTATACATATTCTAGAGATGTGAACATGATGTTATAACTTGTAATTATAATAAGTTACAGCATTTTGCTGTAACTTATTATAATTACAAGTTTCAGCATCATGTTCATATGCTCTGATAAATTACATAATTAATATAAGTATTAAATCATATATTTGTATTATTTTATAGGTGGTGCAATCGTCGAATCTATGCAATTGTGTAGTAAATATTTGCCAATCGCATTTGACTCAGAAATTGAAAATTTAAAGAAGCTTTTAATAAATCAGCAAATTTTTATAACAGTCGATGAATCGCCTGATGTTTGCGGCAAGGCCACAGTCAATATAATATTTAGTTTTTATAATAAAACTAAACTTGTAAAAACTGAACATTTACCCGTTGTTAACAGTACAACTATCACACAATTGGTGCTAAGAACTCTTCAATCTTACAATATTTCATTTACAAATATTATTTTTTTTATATCAAATAATGCCTCTTATATGATAAAGGCATTTGGTATTCTATCTTCTTTAATAGTTCAAATGAAACACAATTGTTGTTTGGCGCACATATTGAATCTTGTTGGCGAAACATAGGTGGATTACAAAAATTTTAAGTTATTAGACAAAGTAGTTATGCAAATTAAAGCATTATTTATGCATAACAATGCACGCAAAAGGAGATGAATTTCTTTTTTGAATTCACAAAATCTTGATATGCCATCAACCTTACCTCCATTTCCTGTTAAAACAAGATGGAATTCTTGGTTCAATTTTGTTTTCTGGATCGACAAACATATTTCTCAGCTTAAAAGTTTTTATTCAAATGAGGAGCTTATTAGTAATGAAGGCAAAGCGATCAACAAATTAATATCTGTCTTTAGAGATCCTCTACGTACATCTGAATTTGAAATTTTAGCTGCATTTGTTACATTTAATGCACTAAGGTAATGATAATAGTAATTTTTTTTTTAAAAAAAAATATGTATGTACGTACATACATATATATGTTGTTGGGTTCTACTAATCTCCCTTGATAAGTAAAATTTATAATAATGATTGGAATTAGTGACCAAATCCTGTGATACTGTATAGAAGAGATTCGTGACGTTAGAGCTCTAATTTAATACTATTGCTAAGAACCCAATTTATCCTAATTACTTGGACCAATTCTTTCTATGCTTCAATCGAAGCTTTACCAATATTAAAGTTTGATTATACTAGTTGTAGTATTCTGGTTAGAGTAGTTTAGTTAGTTTTAGTAGTATTAGTTATATTATTTAAACCCAATACATTATATGTATATAATTAATTTTAATATTTTTTTGTTATTTAATCTTTTTAATACACTAGAATTTTTCAAAATTTATAACAAACCTGTAGCGCCTTCTGTATCAAACCATCTAACACAACTTGAAGCACAACTACAATTCAGTACTGTTACTCCACCCTTAAACGACAAGATACTAACTAAATTTAGTATTTTGAATCTAGATTTCTCACAGTATATAAACAGATTTCAAGAGGCGTATAAATCAGCATTAAATAAATTTAAAAAACATATTGACCAATACCCTACTTTACCTTTATTTAAGGCGATTCAATGTTTTGACCCCATATCTTCATTCGCAACAAAGTAGGCAAGATATTAGTTTGTATAAATATATTTCCGAATTTGAAAATCCTAACTATATGATTATACATGAGTGGGGGATTTATTGTAAGCTAGATGAAAATTTTAGCTATGATAGTGAATTCAATTTAGATTCGTATTGGAAAAAAAAAGCTATACATCTTCCTAAGTTGTCGCAAATAGCTTTAGTTTATATTTGGCTTCCAGTTTCGGGAGTTGATGTTGAGCGAAGCTTCTCTGTATATAAAAATATTCTTACAGATAGAAGACAAACTCTTTCAGAAAATTCGATTGGTATTTTGAATTTTATGTATTTTAATAAAATCGAATAAATGTTTTTTTAGATTTAAATAAATCTTAAATTTCAAGCAAATGTCATACTACAGTACTATAAAGACGTTCATTTTACGTATGAAATCGACTATATATTTGATATGCATATGTGCACATATGATCTACGAAAAAAATACCCACATATGCACATATGTGCACATCACATTTTTCAGTCCACTCTAATTTGAAGTTACTATATAAATGATGATCGGCAAAAAATCCGAATATACGATTTATCATAGTAAGCTTATATCGCATACCCCATAGTTCTATGTCTAGTTGTATCACATGGTAAAGTTCGACGATTAGATTTCGATTGTCCAATTGATGTTCGCCACGATTTAATCATTATTCATAAGTTTTACCACGTAATATTCTCCCAAAACAAATTCTCGTTCATTTCTCCTTTACTCTAATTCTGTTAGATAAAATTTTCTTGATTATTATTATTATTACTATTATATTATTAACATTATTTTTTCTAAATAAAAGTACATATATATTTCTATGCAAAAATGCAGCATTTGGTGCTGCGTTGGTTAATTTTATGTATCTCGTTGTGTTTGTTCTGGACCATTCCAGGTACTTCGGCATTATACGATAGCAATGGTCCGGTCGTTCTCCTTTCCGATAAAAATTGGGCCGAAGAAGTTTTACATACTGAGGTAATTATAAATATTCATTGAATACATCAATAATAGTTTAAATCATAATCATGGTTTTTTTTTTTTTTTGTGGATTAGAAAGTCGTGGTAGTAGAATTTTTCGCGCCTTGGTGTGGGCATTGTAAAAAGTATGCATCGTCTTTCATTTCAATTATTTATTTATTGTCTTCACATAAAGGCATTAAATTAATGTTATAATAATTATTCAAAATAGCCTTGCTCCTGAATATATAAAAGCTGCTGAGAACCTTAAAGGTCTTGTGACATTAGGTGCAGTTGACTGTGATAATGAAGATAATAGAAAACTTTGTGGTGCTTATGGAATTCAAGGTAAATGTTACATCAAATTCATTACCTATTCTGCTTCATTTAAAATTTATGATCTATCTTGTTTCAGGTTTTCCTACCATCAAACTTTTTCCAAGTAAATCAATTGAAGATGAGGAAATTATTGGAAGGTATTCAAAGACACCTAAAGGTGATTTCTTATTAAATAATATCATTACCAAATTTCAATAGAAATTCTTTCTTTTAATACATTCAATGACTTAGTTGCATATTTTTTTAGATTATACTGGACAACGAACTGCTAAAGCAATTGTCGATTATGCTATAGCTGAAATACCATCTTATGTACATGTTATTTCTAACGATTATAAAATAAGGAAAGCATTTACAATGGATGAATTTTTTGCCAAAGAAGTATGCATTAACTACGTCACTTCACTTTATACATAATCTCAAAATAAATTCATTAATTTATTTAATTGTCTAAATAGAACGAGACTGTTTCAAAAGTAGTTCTTTTCACTAATAAGAATCAAACAACGCCTCTATACAAAGCACTTTCTTGCGAATTTCATAAGAGACTTATATTTGGTGAAGTTAAAGAAAAAGAATCTGCTATTGTTGAAAAATTTGGAATTAAAGGATTTCCAAAGTTATTCGTTGTTCCATCTAGTAGTAATGAAGCCATAGAATTTAAGGGTATATTTATATTTATTTATCTTATTTTTCTTTTATTATTTTTATTTTTTAATTTTTATTTTCTTATTTTATTTTCAAAAAAATTAATGAATTGTTAATTATACTTCTCGATTTGTCTTGCAGATAAATTTAAGTATGACACAATATCCCAGTTTTTGGAAAAATATGCATTAAAGATAAAAAGAAAGGAAAAGGAAAAAGAACCAGAACCAGAGCCGTGTAAATACAATACTTGTTACATATATCTATAATAATATCAAAATACACTAAATACATTAATATTAATCCTTTTTTTTTATTACTATACAGTTGATCCAGAAATAAATGAAATCCAAACTCAATCTCAATTAGAATCTCAATGTCTTTCAAAACCACTTGGTCTTTGTGTATTTACATTCCTCATACTTGAACCAGAATATCCAGAATCTGTTGCTGAACATTCTAACAATCTTGAAATTCTTCGTAAAGTAAAAAAGAAATTCCATGAACAAAGTACTATCGATAAAAAACTTAGTTTACGATTTTTCTGGTTTAATGCTTTATCAAAGGAATCTAAAAAATTGATAAAAGATTTTAAATTATCGGATATGTTTCCAAATTTAATGATTCTTAATCCAAATCGAAAGGTTTATCGTCCTCATATTGGCCCATTTGATGAAGAAGGGATTGAAAAGTTTTTAAATGATATTGCTAAAGGACGTGGAAGTAGTTATGAATATAATTTTGATGTTAGTGTGGAAGAGAAAATCGAAAAGAAGGTTGATGAAAAGAAGGTGGAGAAGGATGATGAAAAGGTTGAAAAGAAGGATGATGAAAAGGTTAAAAAGAGGGATGATGAAAAGATTGAAAAGAGAGATGATGAAAAGGTTGAAAAGAAGGATGATGAAAAGGTTGAAAAGAAGGATGATGAAAAGGTTGAAAAGAGGGATGATGAAAAGGTTGAAAAGAGGGATGATGGAAAGACTGAAAAGAAAGTCGATGAAAAGATTGAAAAGAAGGATGATAAAATTGAAAAGAAAGATGAAAAAAGTGAAAAGAAAGATGAAAAAATAACTGATGAAAAACGTCATGATGAATTGTAATATGGAATTTTTTTCATATTATATTTCGCGAGTCATAACAATAAAATTGCGGAATTTTTTGTTAAATTGAGAGTCAAATAACTTCACAAATAAAATTGCATTGTATAATTAAAATTTGAACAAGCCCAATATTACGTGAAAATCATTTTATAGATTTTACAGTAACAGAAGCTACTATAAGCTCGGCACAAGTCATAAATATTTATTTTTTCGTACAATAAAGTTAACAGCTTTATTTTCATTAAACTTCTATATTTTAAATAGAATATATAAATTCTGAAGAGTGCTAATCGAACTGGTTTGTTCAGATCAATTCGGCCAGAACTAGAAGCTATTGCGGCACTTTCGAAGTATTTCAGCATTGAAGTTACCGAAAATATTTCGGCAATTTAATAATGCCAATTCGGAAAATCCGCAATAATTTCTATAACATGTATATAACTTGGCCTTTTCTGATTAATTCATTATCCGAATTTGCTGTCAATATGTAAATTTTACGTAAATAAACAACAAATTTAAGGGAGCTGACACTTATTATGTAAATATAACCCCCTCCAGAGTCGGCCATTTGACAATTACAAGTTCTAAAGTAATCAAAGTGTAAACTTTATATTACAGTATACCCTCCCAAAACCGATCCTGTCAAAACCGGTACCTGTTATAACCGATAAAAAATTGACCCACCATAGCTGTTCCATAATTCAAACCCGATAACCTGCCATTTCTGATAACCAATACTCAAAAGATCAGATGCCCCACTAATCTACTTCGTCTTGGGTGTGTTAAAAATGTCGGGAAGGCAATCTGCGTGTATATAACCACCTAAAACATGACCGAACTATAATATAAGGTGACCCTAACCCTAAAGTTAATTATAAGAATCTACTCCGCTTTAGTCGTCCCCCTTTTCTGGATTTTCGTGCTGTTGGGGATTCCACCCAAAGCGCTTTCTTCACGTTTCGGGTATGGATCATGGAGTATATTTTTTCTCTTACGGCTCTTGGATCAAGGCGGAATCCTAAGATTTTCTAGTTGGCATGATAGGTGGGACTCTTTCCAGGTCTTTTCTTTTTCTTCCGGGTTTTTCTTTTCCAAGAGCTCTCAGGTACGTTCGCAATTTTCGGTCTCTTTTTTTTTTTTTTTTTTATAACCGCATTATCCTTACTAACGTTCCAAGAGAGTCAATTTCATTAAGTTGTTTTCTTGAATACTTATCGTAAAAACCCATAAAGACCTGTGATTTAGGTTCACGAATCTGCCTTGGAAGGAAGCTGGATATGGGCGTTGTATTAATTATTCTCTTTCTTTTAGTTAATACCGGAATCAGGATTTAAGCGGGGCTAGGTCTTCTGGAGAATGGAATCTAGAACTTCAGACACTTGGGATTAAGTTATCGTTTGGCCAATTCAATATAACAATGAGGAGTTCCAGAATCAATTTCAGGTCGTTTTCCATTGAAAGCTCTTTTTCCGATAGTTATTTTGTCATGATAATACCAAAACCGTAGATATCCGCATCTGGAGTAAATTGTTGACCTTGTAAAACTTCTGGAGCAACATATGGTACGACTCCATAGATTTTACCATCTCCTTTAGTATCAGAAAGTCCCAAGTCTGCAATATAAGTGCCCCCCTTTTTTATTTTAACTTTAATTTGTTTTCCGAACGTTTTACTTTATTTTGGGCTTCATTCTCCCCGGTGTTGGATTTCTCTGGTGACTTCCAATGGACTACTGGACATAAGATACGTATAACCGCTTTGTTCTCTCTCTCTTTTTTTTTTTTAATTCTTTGACTAATTTTTCCATTTATTAAGGGCGGCATGATAAAGGGCGATGGTGTAACAAAATTGATTCTCGGGTTTTAGCTGAACGTTAATGGGACTTGAAAGATCATACTGGGACGTAGAGCGTAAATTCCTATCCGATGCTAAGTAATTTTTGTCTTTCTTTTGTTTTCGTTTCGGGCTCAGGTACTAACGTTATTCCAAATTTTAGGGTATCGGGACATTTGATGAAGGAACGTTGGCGAAACGTTACTTGATGGTCATAAGAACGAGACCGTTAAAGAATATGTTGAGCATATAAATCAGGACTTTCGGGACTTAATTTAATAGAACGGGGCCATCTTCGAATAATGAATTTCCGGGAGAAATTAAATTCATGGTGGACGATTTCGTAGATACGTATAAAGATCTGAGACCTGATTTCGATCCTGTGTTAATGCGGCCAATAGCCTTTCCACGGGGAGAAATGTCTGTTGAATCCAGACGTATAGTGATGACAGTTTTGACTTGTTAGAAGGATTGTAAGTTATTTGCGTTAAATTATGGTATATTTATATAATATTATATTACAATTAAGAGTATTTCTAATTCCAGGCGTCATATTTGGAGTCTGAGACCATTATTAACGGAAGATGAATACAGCAAGAACTCATATACAATTCATGCTGTATCAAAGGTTTTAAACCCAATCTTCACATATTCGAAGTGGTCCCTTAAACGTGCATGGTAATGTATATAATTATTTTTATAATCACGATCATTATAAATATGTAATACCTATTCCAGTTTTGCTAAATACTATATATAAATTTTAACACATAGGTCTGAGCAGACAAACAAGTCATCACAATCTAGGATGGAACGAATAGAGGCTACGAATTCGGGAAAAAAGCCAGATCTACAAGTTTTTTTTTTTTTGATTTTAACTTCCCTCTGCTATCCTGAAGGTCCTAGACACCTTAGGATATTCTCACTCTCTAAGGCCAGAGTTATCATTTGGTGGAGATTGATGGTTGGCATATGGCTTCTGATTCGTCACCAAACTAGTGAGATAACTCATGCTCCATTAAGTTCGTCTTTTGACGTCCCGGGTACCTGGTCCCTTGTTCTGCAGTGTAGAACCTACGTTATCTATGTTTGCAGTTCTCTAACTTCATATGATCCACCAGTTGGATCACACTTTATAATGTCCTTATTACACTCTTAAAATGGATTTACTCAATTTTTATGTCATTTGTTGATGGATTTGCCTTATCTGGTCATCCTTGACTCTGTGGCAATGCTGATGGACTGCATTCTGTATGCATAAATCCTGTTTCTTCTTTATATGGAAAGTGTCATCTCAAAGATCATTTCAATCATAGTCTTGACAAAGCTTTGTCCTTCAGTTGGATTCGAACCTGCAACTTTGCGACTGTGACCTGGAAGTGCTAACTACTGCACTATAATAATCTACAAGTTTTGTTAAAGCTTGACA